TTATTTAGATTTCTTATGTGTTCCTCAAATTTTAATTTATCATCTAAGTAGATTCCTAAGAATTTGGTATGTGATTTGTTGATAACAATATTCCTGCCTAGATAAAGGTCATTATACATGAACTCAAATGTCAATATACTGGTTTTATCAATGTTGAAGCAAAGCAAGTTTGCATCGCACCATTGTTTAACCTTTTCTAAGTCCTTGGAAATGTTAGATTTCAGAAGTTCAACATTATTATCATGCCACAGTAATGTGGTATCATCCGCAAACATTGTAAATGATCCTCGAATGTCGAGTTTACTGAGATCATTCAGATAAACAAGGAAAAAGATTGGCCCAAAGACTGAGTCCTGAGGTACACTACATTCAATATTTCAAGGATCAAAGAATTTATTATGGAAGTTAACAATTTGAGTTCTGTTGGAGAGGTATGATTCTGTACTGGGTCTGCGAGTGAAAACACCTGCACCAAACCTGAAGGCGTTTTTGATCCATCTGTAAATCAACAACTATCTGCTCTTAATATATCCATCTCCCGGAATATCCAGTCGTCTCTACTCAGGAACAGTACTGTATGAGGCAATTCGTCGTTGACAGTTGGAGGCATAATGTCAGAGGTCATTCCAGAATGATGTGACTTTCAGTGTCAATCTATTGTACTCTGCATTAGATTGTTTTGTGTAGTTGGCGTTGTGCACAAGTCTATATGCAGTCCATCTAGTCTCTCTAGAAAAATGTGGACAAGAGGTAGATCGAGAAATTTTACCACAAATCCTTCGACATATTCAAAGGGACAGTCTGGCTTTCTGTAAAACTTTTTCCAAGTGAGCATTCCAGGTTTTTTTTAACAAGGACAATGCCAAGATATTTCACCTTCGTTCCAAATGGATTGATCTCACCATTGAGGGAAAGCGGCATTGAATCGTCATATTTTCTCCTCCTGGTGAAGGGGAGTGTCACAGTTTTGCTGGGATTGACAGACATCTGCTCCTTGGGGCACCAACTGTGAAGAATGTCCATCGTACTTTGTAGAATATCACAAGCTACCCTTCTTGAAGTTGACTTTGCCAAGATGACAAAGTCTCTGCATCAGCTTGCAGATATACTTCTCTTCTGTCAAGGGCATCAAGCAGACTATCCATCAGGAGCGACCACAGAAGGGAAGATAGTACTCCATCTTGAGGGCAGCCCCTAATGACCTTCTTTCGAAGAGTCGTAGTTGCAGTTCTGTTTACCAGCATGGCATAGATCCAGCCAGTTATGGTCGATTCTATGCCTTTTCCAGCCAGGGATGATCCTATAGATTTAAGTAGTGTATTGTCAAATGCTTCTTCTGGTGGTTATTCAGGGGGGGATGCATATAATGCCACCCACCTGAGGTGTCTGTCCAGTATCTTCTCAAGTCCTTTCAACAGGAAGGATGTAAGACTCATTGGTCTTACCGATTCAGGGTGCGTCTCTTTCCGACCCACTTCAGGTATATATACCACCCTTGCTGCTAACGAACTGGGTGGTATATATACCATTCTCTCCGGGAGATTTGAAGGGCTAATAGTCTTGATAGCCCATTCAACTACAGGTGCTGTGATAACCTTCTTGACGACCTCCCAATGTGTAAAAAGAGGTAGGGGAGTGGTGAAAAACTTGGGAGTTAGTTGATGATTGATGAAGGTTGACGCAGGATATTCACATTCGCATAATAATGTTTTATGCCTTGAAAAAAGAAATGGAGTGAAATGAAAGTGGAGACCAGTTTGTGAACGTAAATCGATTCAATTATTATTATGTATCACAACAGAAACATTTTTCCCACACACAAAACTTCTTACTGTTTTTTCGGGTATATAACCTTCCCCAATCTGAAAAATAAACAAAGTTGAATCAATAGAGAATCGCTGAAATTTAATAAAGGACAAACTGAAAAGTTCTCCCCGAAAAGTGACTGCGTAATGAAGAGTCCAATTAGTCAGTAACTTGTCATATTCATAAATTTTGCTTACAAATTGATAAAATCAATTGAAGAAAATAATAGAGCTAGTTGAAGAAGAAGTATCTAATATTACCAAAGAAGACTGGCAGAAAAGGATTAAAAAAGTAATTTTAGTTGAAAAAGATTAAATGGAGATTGGACACTTCCATATTAATGGTAGTAGTATTCAGAAGTATTTTCAATCATCACTCTGTTATTTGAATCCTACGTTCAGAAATTATTATTGAATAACAAAATTAGTTAGCTCCCTAACTATATTATTAAAGGGGAACTATATCGTTTACTTGAACTATATTAAATAAGAAAAAGATGCTTCGAAAAATGAAGAACGATGTTCCTCAGTGATCTGTTGTAAATGTCCTCCCTTCAAACTATTGTAAGACAAGGTACTTGGGTAGTCCAGTAGCCAGATCTTATTGACAAACGTAGTAAACAAAACACGTTTAATCCATTTTAAAAAGTTACAATTCCCAATATGGAGGTATGTGCTTAAGGGAAACCGCTGTTATAAAACAAATGCATTGATTTTGCGTTTTTTGCAATTTTGTACACCATTCATGTGATAAACAAGGTTCTTAAACTATGTCAGCATGGTTAGTATGCGAGAGGACAAGAAAGTTGTGGTGGTACCCAAGTCCCGTTTGAAGGGATCAATAGTTTTTTCAAGGCTTAGGTAGGTTCTCTTTGCGACGATAGCTAATTGTTTGGAGAATTTGAGCTGTTGGTCAAAAATAACACCAAGACATTTAGCTTCAGAGACAGAAGGAATGAATTCATTATCAATATATACAGGGAATTCATCAAGGCGGCTTAAGTTGAAGGATGACCCAATAAGAATATTTCAGCCTTTTGCCGAGTTTAGGAGTAGAGGGTTTTTCTCGGTCCATCTATTTATGGTTGTAAGACTGTTGTTTATTTTTATCAGGGTATCAAATTTTTTACAAGGCTAAAAGTTTAAGTAGAGAAAATAGTTGTCGGCAAACATATGCAGATTACAATCTTCCATTAACTGCTGCAAGTTAGATGTAAAAATAGCAAGAGTGGGAGCGAGTACCGAATCCTGTGGTACGCCATTATTAACAATACGAGTATCTGAAGTGAGTACTGTTAGGTGGATATTTACACTGACAAATTGTGGTCGGTTGAAGAGGTAGGCTTTGAGTCAGTCTGAAATTCGACCATTAAACCCATAATAGTAGAGTTTGGCGATTAGGCAGTAAAAATTAATAGTATCAAAAGTCTTTGATNTTTATTCCAAATTAGTTCCTTATGGGAGGCGACTTTTGGCCAAACTGTCTGGCTTTTTCTTAAAAACAATTCTCAAGAACGCAACAATACATTCTTGGGCGATGCCAATGCGACCGGGTGTTTTTCTCAAATTAATTGAATTTGTATACTCACTTTTTTGAGTAGGCCGTCCTAGTTGCAAATGAACTTGAGACATATATTCAATTGGACTTGTTGATTCTTCAATATCACAAAAAGGTAGAAAAGCTTCTCCAATATACTGGTTATTGTAACCTAATAAATCTTTGTCCTTTACGCTAAATAAAATTAATCCGTCTTCGATACGTCTTTGGTCCTGAGATAATTTACTGAAAAGTGAAATTTCAATATTAGAATTCAATTATTTATTTATTTATTCACTAAAGGGTTCAAGACCCATTTAACTCAATACAATTCAAAAATTAAAGATAGCTACACATAATACCCAATACAAAAGTATAGATAGAATCAAAACAGTAGATATATGAAACTAATCAAATTGTAAAAATATAAAAATACAAACAGTAATCAAATATATGTACATGTGATAACATGTCACTAGATTACACGTTCTATTAAAAATATGTTCGCAGATATTCAGTATTCCGCCCTGAATCAAGCTGCCTCTGAAACTGAGACTGATGTATAAGTAAAGAAATAGAGGTCCGTTTTATTTTCCGCTCTTATAGTTCATGGTATAAAGGAATGAAAGTACTGATTTGTTCTTTAGTGTGGTTGACAAAATGTTGTATTTCTAGTTAATTTAGGAGAGGCAGAAAGTCAGATCTTGGATAGCAATGGGGGACAATGGACAATTCCATTATTTATTAAAAAAATATCTTCGAGTATTTAGTATCCCTTCTGTTACAGATTGTTTCGAAGTCTATGAGAGAATGTAGCTGAGTATAGATATATATGTAGTTCTCAGGAGTAATTCTGGATTTAAAAGCGACCAATCTTAGGAATTTTCTCTGAACTTGTTCTAATATATGGATGTGGTTTGCATATGACGGGTTCCATACAGAAGATAGGTATTCAAGATGAGAGCAGTAAACAGAATTCTCAAGTATTTGATATCAGTGAAATCTGAGGTGCATCTTAAGAAGTCTACCATGTTGAGAGACTTATTAACAATGGCTGACATGTGGGGCTGAAATGAAAGTGAGCTGTCTAGGAGTAAACCCAAGTCTTTTATTTCTGTAACGTTAATGAGTGGAACTTGATTTATAGTGTGGAAGAACGTTAAGAGGATAAGTTTAAGGCTAAAAATTATGGAATGACATTTACGTATATTAAGTTTCATACAATTGTTAGAACACCAGCTTGATAGTTGGTTCAGATTCCTCTGGAGTTCTACACAGTCGTCCGGTGAATCGATTTTCTTGTAAACTTTCAAATCAAATCAAAATGAAAATATACTTTATTGTCCGAAGATTTGCATCGTATTGACACAGTCCAAGAAATATAATGTTAATATAGAAAAAGTACTAAAAAAAGTATAAATGTGCATGTGCAAGTATAAGTATGCATGTTCATCTGAGAAGCTTAGAAATACTGCATTAGAAAAGCAGTATTGAATATCGACCATAAAAACATTGAACAGCAATGGTCCCAAATGGGATCCTTGGGGAACACCGGCTAGTACTAAGCTTCCAGAAGATTTCAATCTGTTAACTTGAGTTATCTGTAAGATAACTTTGTATCCAAGAGAAAAAGTTACCGCAAATTCCCATGTGTTCAAGTTTTTGTAATAAACGACTATAGTTGACTTCATCAAATGCCTTGGAAAGATCTGTGTAAATGAACTGAACTTGGCCACCTATGTCTGAGATGTTCCAGAGACAATTTTCATAGACAAGCAGATTGAGTTCAGTTGACTTCCCTGTGCGAAATCCAAATTGTTGATTATTAAGTAATGGATTTAAGATTAGTGTCAGGTATTTACAATAAGAAAATCTAGAAATTTGGGAATAGTACTTTGCGTGCAGATTGCTCTGAAATTTGTAAAAAATATGTTATTAATTTTCATGCATACTCGATCTCGAAGATTTACCATTGGAATCCATGGCAATTAAATTTCTTGCATTCATGACTTCAACTGTCAGGGTATTTTCCTCAAATTTTGCTTTTACCGATATTTCTCCATATGGTGATTCTTTTATTCCTTTGAATTCTTCTGCCATATCCAGATGGACCTACAAGTATATTGAAGTGATTTACTTTAGACAAAAACTTATAATAATCGCCTTCCTTTCTTGCATAAATTGTATAATAGAAAAGGGCGGAGTTCACTTCATTACCCACTGTCGACGGGGAATATCAGAGACTACTCAATTCATTGAGAGAATCTAGAAAAGAACAGGGAAATGAGGATATTTCACCAATTGCTGCAGGTAAGAAAGACAATAATCTCAATACTATTTGAGTTGTATTTAAGATCGTTTAAAATATTGTCTTGAATGTTTCTTAGTTCACAGTGAATTGAATTTTGAGGAATCAGTTTTTGCGATGATTTTTGCAGTTTTTTTGGGATTCCAATGGTTTTTTTTCAGTTATTCTCAAGAAGATGGTTTATAATATTGTTTTCAAAAATAATAGATTAAAATTTTGTGTTTATTTTGTAACAAGTATCATTGCATTATTGTCATTTTAAACATTTGTCTTTTCACACCCTGATCATGCTGTTGTGTTCCGCCCTGAAATTCTGTCAAGCAAATTGATTTTCTGTCGATTTAGACCTTCAAGATGACCAACAATCCAAAGAACAAGATAAGCGCGAGTCCCGAGCCAGAGTTTCCGAATGGAGGTCTACCATCACTCCTATTCTCCAAAACCTAAAAGAAAGAGATTTCAACATCCATGAATATGGTTCTCATATCATGGAAGACTTGAATGTGAATGAAACAAAAGCATTTTCTTCCATAGTCGAAGGTAAATCTTCGGCAGAAGTTGTTAGGTACTTCATAGCTTCTCTTCAGTTGGCAAATACATACAACATTGAAATCTGTGGTGCGAAGAAAGGAAAATTGTCGAATGATTCCTACAACATCAAGTTGTTGAAAAAGGACAGATATCACGAGCACCTGACCGATTATCAAGCACCGTCAGAGGAGTCATTCAGAGAGAGATTGAAAAGAGTCAGGTCGGCTGAGGTGAGTTGGTTTTCTATTGTGGATCAGTTTGAAAATGCTCAACAATAATAATTTTTTTGAGGATTAAGTGCATTATCTATTTACAGATGTAGGTACTTAAATTGGGTATATTTCAAAACTGATGTTTTAAAAAATCCTCAACACAATAGGGTTCTAGATCTACAAGTATCTTTTTGATGTTTATTTAAAATTGATTGCTACTAGCAGAACGTCTAACAAGTACTGGTAACTTGTTGTGAAATTTCATTGCCATATAATAGGGAGATTTTTCAGTAAGTCTCAATGTATGATATGGATAAATGAGGTCATGCCTCCTAGTGCTATATTCGTGTTCTGTAGCATTTAGATTAAAAAGTTCTCTATAATATCAGATTTGAAGTTTTTTGAGTCTTTAGTGATACTGACTCTCTGTTGTCTGTTTGCTAAATATGAGTGAAACCATTTCAGAGCAACTTTATTACACATTGCGGTTTCAAATAATTTAGAGAAACTTGGTAGTAAGCTTATGGGTCTGTAATTTTCAATACAATTTGTATCCCCTTTTTTGTGTAATGGTTGTATAACTGAAAGCTTGAGTTGCGAAGGAAAAATGCCAAAATTCAAGGAATTGTTAATTATGTGTGATAAAATATCTTTAATTACTATTATGCATTTTCTTATCAAACAAGTTGGAATTTCATCTTCTCTGCTTGAATATTTGTTCTTCAAATTATATTACATTGCAACCACATCATTTGGAGTTATTGGTTGTATACACATCGACCGAGGGTTTTCCATTATTTCACAAGTGAAATGTTCATTATTATTCTCAACTAATTTTGAGAATACTTTGCTGAAATAATTATTGAATTTATTCGATATATCGATTGGATCACCCTGTATGTCACAGCTTTACCTCTTTACTTTGCCGGTAATTTCGTTGCAGATACTCCACATATATTTTGTTATCAGAATTTTTTATACGCTCTTTATAATTTTCCTGTTTTGATGATATTAACAACTTATCATACTCAGTTTTTATTTTCAAGTATTCATATTTGATACTTCCATTCGTTTTGGATAGGCATAGTAATGTATCTAACCTACTTTTACATTCCTTAATTTGAGAACACGAGTAACAATTTTTGTTTTTACGAAAATGTATGTGCTTGATTGGAAAACATTTGTTGAAAATATTTATAAAGTTATTGATGAACATCACCCATTGCTTGTTTACTTGCTCATGTTGTATTTCATAGACCTCTGCCCAATCCTCATTATTTAGTTTTTTGACAAATTTTTTTGTGGCTCCCTCTGTGAAACATCTTTTGTGGCCACCTGAACCATCCCAAAATATAATAGTTCCAGTATCTTGCAGGTTTTTCATTATATAGCATGTAGTGCTTAGTTTTGAACATACAGTGTTTATGTGTGCTTCCCATGTTAGCTTACTATCCAAAGTAACACCAAGAAAGTGATGGTTTCCATAGATTGTAGAGATAAGGTCCAGTATAGGTCATATTTGGATTTATTGCAAAAAACCGGAAATAATTGTTTTTTTTTCTATTCAAGATGAGGCCATTTTCAAGGCTATATCTTTCTATTTCATTAGATGCGTTGTTACTTGATTTTATCAATTGGTCAATATTATTGTGTGACATCAGAATATTAGTGTCATCAGCATATATTATTGTTTGATTTGCGGAGGTACAGGTGTCATCAATGTCACTCAGAAAGGCTGACAACAATATTGGTCCCAAGATTGAACCCTGTGGAACCCCTGTATTTATTATTTTTGAATCTAATTTCTCGTTATTCACTACTGTGATATGGGTTTTGTTTGTTGAGTATGATGTTACCCATTGAAGCGAAACACCCCAGGTAACTATACGTTTTGGAATACAAAAAGGGAAAATGTATGTATTGAGTATATGTCATGAAAACCACGAGATCACGTTTCTGTGGTTTTCTATGAAAAATGCATCTCATGATAGATAGATAGATAGATAGATACATTTATTTCAACAGAGTATTTTATAATCATTCACAGGAATGGCAGAATATTTTTGTCTGAGAAATACGTCAACAGGAAAATTGTAAAAATATCAAATATGTGTATATATAAATCTAAAAATGAAGCATTCAAAATGAATAGCTTCAAGTTTCAAACACAATTACAAACATATTAAAATGTGCGTCATATTGGGCATGATTACTGAAAGTAGAGATAATTTCTATAAATACATATCGCAATTTTGTATAAAATTTGTTTCATAAATTTCCACAGGCCAGAAAATATTCATCAGTATCGTAGGGCTCTAGATTACATAAGAATTTTCTTACAGATTTCAGAAATCTGTTAGCAACGACAATATCTTTTATGTTTTTCGGAAGATTATTATAAAATTTCATTCCAGCATAGATAGTGCTACGTTCGTATAGGGATTTTGCATGGATGGGATATGAGAAGTCATTATCATGGATAATAAAACTGTTGTTCTAATAATCATCATAATGAAAATTTGAAATGGACCTGGCATGATTTATATGAATGTGATTAGAAAAAAAAGAAAGTGAGTTCTGTTATTTACCTGTATTTTCCGAATCTGAGTTTGATCTAGAGGGAATGAAGTTTCACTGATTTTATTTGTTGGTATAGATCATTGGTAAGAACAGAAGTGGCCCTATATTTGCTTCTTGAGGTATACCAAAAGTAGCAGTTATCAGTTCAGATTTATAACCATTAAATGTCACCTTTTGAGATCCATTCGACAGGTAGAATTTAACAAAAAGTAAAAGTTGTTGGTCTAAGACCTAAATCTCACAATATCATGATCACTACATTGTGATCTTGCAATGAATAGTGACCTTGAGGAAATGGTCGCTTTTAAAAAGGGTGAACGATGGATCGGAATAATTGAAATCAAGATAACTTGCACTTTTCGGATCTTGTCAAAGGTCTACAATTACGATTATAAATACTTTACAAGAAATGTTTCGGTGCAACACACGAGGCTTTATTGTGTCTGCACGAATAGGATCAACAAATGAAAACTGGCGATTATTGACTGTATTAAAAAACTCTGGCAGATACTTCAATTATTTCAGAAATGTAGTTACCTGTCGTGATAGACCAATGATTATTTTGATATACTGTAATATATGAAATGTTGAATGACATGAAATACTTGTATGAAAATACAAAAATAATACATTGATTGAAAATAGCTATATTTGCCTCATTTATAACTGTTGTATCTTATTTTATAGCTTGAAGATGAGACAGAGCCTACACCCAAACACCAAAGATTTATTGAACCTTTGACAGCTAAGAGAAAAAGAAAATCTCGAACATTTCTACAGTCAAAAGCCTGTAGGATATCCAGCATCATCGAAGACGAAGCAGTGTTTCCTGAAACCATTGGCCAGGACCGCACGCAAGCCGCAACAATTTGCCGAAAAGAGGTACAAATAAAAATTGTTGATAACTTGAAATCGATGCTTCCAATTGCTTCCAAAAGCATTATGAAGTGTCCGAGCGCTTACGAACCTCAAATGTCTCCAATTTTAACCCCGACACCAACGTCTCGACACGTGCATTTCTCGGAGAATTTGGGACGCGTGCGGAAATCTTCAATATCGGATAGACATTTGTTTAGTGATCAAAGCTTTTCCTCAACGCCCAGAAGGGAATTGACGGAAGAAACTTTCCGATTTCATTTGGATAGTATGCAAGAGGAAAACCCTGAACTTCAAATGTATTCTACGCCACTGGAAGAGCGGCAGTCCAGGCTCCTAGAGCCGTTTTCAAGTGGGAAGTCTTTGCTGTTCGACTGAGCTACGGTCAGGCAAGGATTTTCCGGTAAAAATGTTATTTCTTCTTCAGCATTTTTTAAGGTGTATTTGTACAGTAACCGTATTTGGTTTTAAATTAATTTTGTTGTAAAAATTTTGATTTTCGTATCGGGGCGATTGTCAGTTGAAGCTGAAAAGAAATACCAAAAAGTGGTGGTCTGTATCTATAAATTTATTGTAAAAAGATGAGTAGGAGGTTTTAGGGATAA